ACTACTATACCAGGGCTTAAGTTTATAAGCAAAAAATATTCAAAATAGGATCACAAGAGTGATATCCATGTATCTCGCATTTTTCAATATTTTAAAAATTTTGGTATACAATTTATGATATGTATGATTCTTTTTTAATATTCAAAAGGTATTTTATTTTCAAAAATCTTAATTGGATTCAATATTTTATAACATTAATTTTGCAGTTGAAATAAGTGGGTTAAAATTTGTCCCACCACACACTTGAATTTCCGCTCAATAGATGGCAGCACTCACGATTATTTTTCTTTTCTTTTTTGCATCTACTTTTTTCGTGATTGCGCGCGCTTTTACATCCGTTGTATGCTCTGATGTGCTAAAATGTCTAGAAAAAATTAACAACTCAGGAAGCTTTGGATCTTTTTGCTGAATTGCCATCCGATTGCGACTCAAATGCTTCAGATGTCAGTTCTGATTCAGATGAAATTGAAATCCAGGAGAGAATAACTGAGGTTGAAGTTATTGCTGAAGAAGAAAGGGAAGTAGTTATAATTTGTTTCGCTTTTTAAAGACACAGACCCATCTATGCATGTGGCACTGTAAATATGAATCGGAAGTATCTACCCAAAAATTTAAAAGACAAATTTATGTCAAGAGAATATATAGACTTTTCAGTTAGCGATGATTCAATTTATTGCATAAAATGGAAGGATAAAAGATCCGTTTCTATCCTGTCTTGCTTGGAAAAGGCAACTGAAATGAAAGAAATTAATAGAAAAGAACGAGATGGAAAGACAAAAAAAAAAAAAAAAGTACTGTGCCCAAACAGCATTATTTCATACAATAAGAATATGGGATATGTCGACTGATTGATCAACTGAAAGGACTATATGAAATAGACCGCAAAAGCAAGAAATGGTGGCACATGATTTTTTTTTTTTTTTTTTACTTTTTAGATGCGAGTATAGTAAACACATTTATTCAAGTTTGTTCGCGAACCTGATCATGATGTAAAAACAATGAAAGATTTTCTTCTCTCAGTTATAGAAGGTCTAATGGCACTTGCAGGCAAGAAAGAGCTGAAAAGAAAACTGAAATCCCCAGTTCAAATAAAAACTAAAAACCCGTTCGTACAACCAGAAAAGAGACTAAAAAATGTAAGTAAAATGCCAAAGAGAACGAGCAGGAGAAGATGTGCATATTGCAGCACATCGAAAGAAGAACGACGAACATTTTGGATGTGTGAAACATGTGAAGTGCCTCCATGCTTACAAAAGAATGAAACAACATGTTTTTCAAAGTTTCATGAAAAATGACTTTTTTTTTTCAATTTTAATCATATATAAATGTTTTTGAATCAAGTGCCAATTTTAATATTTTATTTAGTATCATATGTACGAGTATCAAATTTTAATCTTAAAATAATATTCAAGAAAATATTTTCTTTTGTTCCTAAAATTTAAAAATATTAAATATATAATGCAAAATGTGCATATGCAGAATTTTAAAAGTCATGCATATATGCAATAAGTACAAAATGCATTTTAGTGTGTTTATAATGAATATTTTAGAATGCACGCTTTATTTTGTCTATTTATTCCACATATGATTTTTTTCCCTGCTATACACCAATATGCTATAAGACATGCGCTAGTTGCATGGTGGGACAAACGGTATCCCACCTTCCCCTGTAAAAAATTAAAGCGCAGAAATTTTTTCAAGCCTTAAAGGCACTTAAGTAAGTCCATCTGACTTATTCTAAGGCATTATTTTAAAGATTAAAATATATTTTAAATATGCGTGTCGCAAAGGGTTAATGTATAACGGATGGTATAAGCTAAAATTATCTATTTCAGTTAATGTTGATGATTGCGTTGTTCCTTAATCTTCGAATTGGATCCGGCTTACTATTTTTTGCAGATTGTAAAAGCAATTTTATAAAAGTAAGCTTGAACTTTCGATTATGTCAAATAGAATTTCCGATGCTGCAGCTCCCAAAGGATCTAGAAAACAAAAGTACGATTCGATGTCCATCAAACAAAAAATGGATAAAGGTATATCCTTTGTTTATCTAACCGTTCCGAAATCTGTTTATCAATTTCACGCTGCTCTGTGCGGCGGGTCGTCCTTATAAATACCACGAATACAAATCAAATAGTTTTCTGGTTGCAATTTTCTAATTTCGGCTATGCGTAAGGTATGCATGTGCGCGTTGAAAGAAATGTTTAATAAAGTAAACAAATAAATATTAAGCTTCTTTTTTTGTAAATTTTGATACCCTTTAGATCATAATTGCTCATTATTTTATAAATTACGGTTTCATATTTTTAATTTAATAATTTCTGCATGCCATCTTACCAGATTTAAACTGATGATCTATAATCCGGAATCGCTGAAGTCCCGACGAGTCCGGATTAAAGACTTTTGACTGTACATAAAATTATACCTTATCCAGGAGTTTCTACCAGAGAAATAGCATGAATTTAATGATCAAAATTCCATTCAAATGATAGTAATAAAGAGTAGATAATAATAACAAATACTATTAATTAAATTATAGTCCATGTTATGAATTATGTGTGATATTTAGTTTCATTAAAAATAAATTCCTTTCATGGAGAACGTAATTAAAAAACAGAACATCACAACAGGAGACAAAACTGTCTAGACTGTTGTTTTAAGGATATTTCACTACATTTTTTCTTTCTTGGAATTCATAAGAGCATTTTCTCAAAAGATTAATCTTTTATTACTTATACAAAGCTTACACCAATGAATTGACTATTGTGACTAATCTTAAATAAGTGAAAATAATTTTTTCCTTTTTTAAAGTAATATTTTTACTGCAGATTCTTGATATTGATTTGATGTTTTAGTAAAATTAATTCATGAAGTTTGTTTGGAAAGAAAATCAGCAATAATTGAAGCAAATAGCAATACAATATTTTCAGCCTTTTTTAATAAATTTATTCTTAAATACAAAAATAATTAAACAGGAAAAAAATTATAGTAATTTTTTTAAATTATAGACAGAAAGAAAGTAATATTAATAATTTACACAGAAAAAATAAAATGTTTGCAAGCATGCATTTTTTTAAAGAATTTTCATAATAAAATGAAAAATATTGGATGGGATCAATCATCTACAGCATCATGCACAGCGTGCATAATCCTGAGCTTAACTTTCGCTTTACTAGTTTCATCCATATTTTTCAATATAAATTGAAAAACTCATTAAAAAATGCATGTAATCATTGAAGATTTCTTGCAAGATCAACTCTTTATTTCATTCGGATACGTGTTCCATAGTAAAAAAAAAACGTCACCTTCGATGTGACAGCGAAATCGTCTAAAGAAAGCTGCTTCGTTTAAGCTTAGCTCCGATTAGTCGATGCTTATCCCAAACCCGGGGTATAGTTGAAACCATATGCCACGAGTCCTAAACCAGATTCTGTGACGTAGCAGCGACTGGTTGCCTTGGCAACGGAGCTCGGCTTTAACCGCTTATGCCCATTACGCCCTCGTCTGAAGGGGGCCTTACAGTGACGTTACAAAAATTGTTTTGGGGAATTAAATGATGCTGAATGACAGTTTAGTGGAAATTCTCAAAAAGTAATTACAAGTTATTGGAACTGAATTAGAAATAATCCAAAAAATTATAGTAGTTTTAGTACACAAAATTAACTTATACTGACAGAAATGTTTAATAAAATATATTACTATTGATTAGGCCATAAGTACTTCATTGTTTCATAATTTATGTCCTCTTCCTAGATTTAAAATGATAGTCTAAAATCTGCAAGTTCCGATGACTCCAGATCTCTTTGTACGATATCACTTTGGTTTGAGAAAAGTTTATAATCTGATGATAGAGATAGTCATTAAAATGTTACCTTATAGTAGAATTTATTTAGGTAAACACTAATACTTCATTATTATAATGCATAAAGAATTATCCCATTCTCACATCTATCCACCCTTGTGATAAGAACCCTTCAGGAACATATCTAATTAGCAATTAGAAGAGCAGTGGTTTTAACTTTGGCAAGGACGTAAAATTTTCCATGTTTTCTTCTTTCAATATCTTCAAATGCAAAATACTGTTACATGTTCTTTCACTTAAAATATTTATAGTTGCCGGGTATGCTACTGTTACTAAGAGACTGCTTTTATATTAAGATATCTTAATTAACACTCTGAATAGCACGACTGCCTTTATAATTATATAAATTATTATTTGCCCTATAAAACTTATTCGAAAATAAGCTTTTTGGTCACTTGGTATATATTATAATATAATATATGCACACACATAATATTTTACTTTACTTAAACACAACTACCATCTTAATGAATAGAAGTTTATGAAAACAGAATAAAATAAGTAATTATACAAATTTAGCTAGTAAAAGCTGTTTGTAACCCCATGGCTCAAAGAGTGCCACCTAGCGGCCACCAGGGAATACACCGGCCAGCAAAGACTACAGCCTTCAGTCGGTGTTCCCCCGAGATTTACTTTGTAACTTAAATGTGTAATTAAAACTCTTAATTGTAATGTTTTATCTTTATTGTGTTTTACTAGTTAAAGCTATTAAAAAAGACCAGGTGAGTCTTTTATTTATGGTAGTTTTGATTATATGTTTAAATATAGTTCATAAGCAAAATAAAAAAAAAAAAAAAAAAAAAAAAAAAAAACATGCTACTTAAGAGAAAATTTTTAGACACCTTCTAGATTAATGATTTTAAATATCCCTTAATTGTGCTTTAGGGTTATCTTCTAATTTTATTCTGAATCTATTTGTGGCTAATCAATTTGCCTTGAGGGAGATATTCAAAGGCTGAGAATTCCCGATACTTGGTACTTCAATGAAATGGAAATTACGAAGACAAAAAATTTCAGTGCCACAAACATAACTCCAATAATGAAGGTACTGAAAAGCAATTTACTAAATATATATTCTACTATTTTATATAAAACTTACTAAATATATAGTAAAATATAAAAAGCAACATAAACAACAAACTGAATAAAGGAGTTTATTTTCAGTTATTTTGGAATTTCTCAATCCCTTTGCATTAATTTCTGCCTTGCCATTTTCTTTTTAGACAGTTTCTTTTTGGGTGCCTCTTCTTCTGCAGTGGGCTTAGCAACAACTTGCTCTTTCTCACTCAAGATGACTTCAATATGTGAGGGACTACTCATATAGGCTAAAAATAAATATTTCAAAATTACTGTGAGCAGTAATAGATGGAATTTTTTAAAAAAAATTACCATCACATTTTATACAAAAGAATAAAAGCTTGCATATTTATTATCTAATGTAACAAGTACTAAACTGCAGGGAAAGTAAGTTTCAAAGCTGATTTAAAAAATATGCAAGATTAATAAAATCACTGAATGCAAATAGAAGAAAAAAGGGCTACAGGTAAAAAAAAAATTTTAGAAACATAATTAGCAAATCTTTTACCAATTCACTCTAATCTGATTATCAAGAATAACTAGATAATAAAAAATGAGAATAAACTGGTTTTACCCTCCCTCTATATACAGTGTTTGAATGGGGAGGGGGATAATGAACACTCACTATTTCACACTGTTAAGAACCCTAGAAATCTTACCAGAGAGTAATCACAGGAAGTTAGTACTAACCGATTTGAATTGTTCAAGAGATGCATGCATTAATTGTTTCCAGGACGCTTGTTTGTATAAAAATAATAATAAATCATCAAATGCAACAATGCCCCCCAAAAATGTGTACTCGCATTTCAATCAGAAGAGAAAAACATACCTAAAAGACCAGCATCATTTTTAGCTAAACTACAATTTTGTAACAAAAATGCACAAATAATAACTAAAAATATCTAACACATTTTAAAACATGTTTCAAAAACAAATCTCTTGTTTATCTGGGATAAAACCACATGTACTCAAAGATCTTATTCACAAAGCCACTGAATTAGTTCCTATAAAATAAAAATTTACAAAATAACTTTTTTCCTCTCATAGCCTCATATTCGCAAATGACCCATTTCACAAAATTAGGACAAAAATGCATACTTTAATACTTGCCAACCTACAATAATAAAAAATCAGAATTTTTTAAATGAAAAAAAAATACATAAAGAAAATAATTCTAGCCATTAATTAATATCTGAAAGTCCAAATATTAATTCTTATATGCAAATAGTATAAAAATACTTAACATGTAAAACATTTTTATAATTTGTAACTTTAAAAAAAAGTCAGAAACGCTAAGATCACTATAGATTTTGCTTTCATTAAGAAAAGATTGTAATTTTGTATATAGCAATTGCTAAGTAAGCTTGATTTTTCTAATGCTAACATTGTTATTGACAGTTCGCTGTACCTTTCAGCACTTTTCAAATTAACTCTCTTGGTTTGCCAATTCTTGCTGGTTTTATACCTTTATCCAAATTTTTGAAAACACAAAGGCCGGTTTTACAAACTTTGATAAAATATCTTTAAGCGGATCACTAATCATTGACTGCAAATTAAATATTCATTCTTAAAAAATAAATTTACAGTAACTGGAAAATATTTCCTTTATCAAACAATTTTTCTGAACTATATATTAGCCTTACGCTCATAATTTGTAGTATAAAATTTTTAGAAAATTTGGACGCAAATATAGAAGTATTAAGCAAAGATATGCAAAAAATTGTGAAAAATATTAAGAATAAGAAAACGTCGCGAGAAATATATTGTAAACTGGGTAGGCGGGAACACGTTTAGAAAACGAGTCTCCCTAAATTGAGAGTTGGCTACTCTGTATTTTCATTCAGAAGGGAATAAATTAAAAAGCAGTTTCCATGGATTTAAAAAAAAAAGAAAAAACCACTAAGCATCTTGTATTGGGCATAGGAAACATCGTTAAGTTAAATTTACATCACTTGCTTCTCAGATTAAGAAGTCTTCAGGAAAACTCAGTAGCAGAACTGACTTTTGAGTCATTCATCATAAGCTACAGAACAGTATCAGTATATTAATTACTTAAAAATTATAAACTACAATATAGAACTGCACAATTAAGTATTGCAAGAACTATTTACTAAACCAATTATTTATGTATTTTGATCACACCTAAATTAAAAGCAGCAAAAAACATACTGAAATAAAGTACAAGAAAATGCAAAACAAAGTCTAAAATATACACCAACAGTATAATAAAATACATAATACCCCTTTGTAAGTCTAAGAATGGAGAACTAAACAAAAAGAAGTAAGTGTGCGAGAAAAGGGATTTTTCTCCTACGTGAAATTCCATCACATCCTTTTTTAGACACCTGCTGGCTAAAGAGTTGGTACAATGGCCAATAACAGCACATTTACCTACACTGTACTGCTGGAACAGCCATCATCTTTAAAACTACCCTTTTGCCACATTAATTGCTAGTAAATCAATATTTCGGAGCACTTACTCATACCTAGAAGCATGCACAAACCATTTACCAATATTAATTACCTATTTCATGAAAGCTTCAGAAATATTAATGGTGGTAATAATACACTTTGGCTTAAATTTTTTATGTGAACTCTAATACCAAAAAAGTAAAAAATGAAATTCGCTAGCAAAGCAATAAACAGAATTGAGACACACTTATCTCTAAATGAGTTAGATAATCTAATAAATAAAAGTTCATTTTGGTTTCTCAAAGATCACCATGGAAAAAAAATCAAATTGAGCCACTTTTAATTAGCATCACACTAAAAATTGGACTTCTTAGTGAAATATTATTCAGATAATCAGATGAAAGTACTTCTATGAAAATGTATGTGCTTACACCTCAGTTAAGAGCGAAAGCATTATTTTCAACTGAATGATTATTTCATCATAAGAAATGCAATATTCATGTACAGGGGAATTTTCTTTAAAGCATAGAAAGGATTACACAAAACATATATTTATTTTAAAAAGGCATAAATAGTAATAATACAGACATGAAATCTACAAAAAGTAACTTTTGGTCTAAAAATAATCAAAGAAAATAATATCCAACTGATTTCATCAAGACGCATAGTTCTAATCTTGGGAATTTTCATCACATATAATTAACCTGCAAGAATAGTGGTAAATACGATGAAACGGAACAGAAATACAGAAAATAAGATGAAATTTTTAAAAGCATACATTAGTACTCTTCCAAAATCTTGGTGTAAAAATAATTAAAGGAAGTCATATCCAACTGACTTCATCAAGATGGATAAATCTAGTCTTCGAAATTTTCCATCACATATAATTAATATGCAACAATTACTGAATTCAGCTAATTAAGAGCTGCAACAGGCATTTACAGAGTGTGAACTATTCACATAGCATTTTCTAGATGTTTCAGAAAATATCAGTGGCACATAAAGCAAAAACACCGAAATAATGTATGACAAAATATATTCGACTGAAACCTACCCACAAAGGAAACGAATTCCTAATATAATTTAACCTATTTTCTTCCTAAAAGCCTCAGAAATATTAGTGGTGGTAATAATTTTCATCACATCTAAATCAAGAGTAGCAAATCAACACATCATGGGCTTAAAATTTTTATATGTGAATTCTTTGCTACTGAAAACAGTAGAAATTAAAATTTACAGGCAACCAGCAGTAAAGTAAAAAGAAATGAAACACACTTCTGTATACGTGAATTAAAATAATCCTATAAATCTAAAAGATAACTTTGGCCATCTGAGAGATTTGATTCGCATAGAGATAAAAAGAGCTAATTTTAACCAATATTACTTTTGAGCGAGTGTGAACTCTTGCAAATATTGTTCAAATATGCAAATAGGTCTATGAAAATATATGTGCATTACACCTCAGTTAGGAGCGAAAGACAAATAAGAAAACAAGTCAGCATTATTTTCAGCTGAACTATTATGTCATCATAGGAAATGCACAAATATATCATTCATGTACAGGGGATTTTTATAAACATAACAAGGTTCATATAAAACATACAGTAGACTAAAAAAAGAGGAAGAAATACTAAGAATTTAAAAAAGCTACGTAGAACTAAAAGATATATCATGTAACTGTAACAAATTATTTAGACCACAGGACCAGTCTAACATAAATTAGTCACTGAATCAATTCATGAAAATTTTATGCTTCTCATTATACTACAGAAAAATCAATATTAAATACGTACTATATGTCTTAAGAGCTTAAGTTAAATAATCTCGCCATAAAAGATTCAGACATATGCTTGTTAATCTTCATTAGCTACACGCATTCTATACTTCTGCGAGGAAGGAAAATACAACTCAGGGCTAGAATTAACATAATGAGGTTTTTCAAACTAAAGATGATACATTTAATTGCTTCTCAGAATAAGAACATCTTCACCAGAGAACTCAGTAGCAGAACTGACTCATGTCAATCATCATGAAAGCAAACATAAAGGTAATTACAATCATAAATTAAAAGAACTTATTACCACACAGAATATACAATGGGAAAATCATGAAAATATCTATGTACTACGCAAACTCAAAACTATTTCTGCTAATTGGTCTTATTCAACTAACAGAGGTTTTAAATCTCATAAAACCATTCATGGAAAAAATGAATGAAAGACAGCTCAGCTAAATTATACTCTTCAGTTTAGATCAGGTGAAGAAATTCGAAAACATCATTGCCATGTATTAAAAATTAGCAAAATTTATTAAAACATTTATATGCTATTAATAGTGTAGCCAAGAAGCTTAGGATTTTAAATATTTATAAACAATAAGTAACTAAATATTCAGTATCTAACTTTTAGATTTATGTTGCTTATATACTTATGTGATAAAATGAGTTTAGTACTATAAACAAGCTTTATATATGAAAGGAACAAACCAGAAGGATAAGGGTTCAATCACTTAAAACATCACAAAAGGGAATCTTCTTGAGTTTCATAATGATAATCTAAATTTATACCTCGATGTTTTCTTCCAATTAAATGTTCTTTCTTCTCGATGTATGCGATACGCTACTTAAATTTTTGGACACATTTAATGAGGCACGTTTATGTACTAAAAATACGAAGCTTAATATCTCTGAACATATACAATATGGTTTGGCTGCTTCAGGTTTCATAAGGAACAAGTTTTGCCTCCCCCCCAGAAAAACACACAATCATAAACCTTCAAACACTATGGGGGGGGGCAGTTAAATTAAAAACTCTAATTACAAAATATCTCCCACAAAATTAAAGAGCTTAATCAACTCACAATCATAAAAGCAAGAATACTGAACTAAGGAACAGTATCAGTACATGAATAATTAAAAAATTTTACATTAGACCTGAAAATTTTAGTACTGCATCAGCCATTTACAAAATATAAACGATCAATATGCCATTTTCTAGAAGCTTTAGAAAATATCAGTGGCACATAAAGGAAACACACCAAAATAATGTATGAAAAGATATATTCGACTGAAACCTACCCATGAAGGAAACGATTTCCTAATATAATTTAACCCATTTTCTTTTTAAAAGCCTCAGAAATATTAGTGGTGGTAATAATTCTCATCACATCTAAATCAAGAGTAGCAAATCAACGCATCATGGGCTTAAAATTTTTATATGTGAATTCTTTGCTACTGAAAACAGTAGAATTTAAAATTTACAGGCAACCAGCAGTAAAAAGAAATGAAACACACTTCTGTATACGTGAATTAAATAATTCTATAAACCTAAAAGATAACTTTGGCATCTGAGAGATTTGATTCGCATGGAGAATAAAAAAGAGCTAATTTTAACTAATATTACTTTTGAGGCGAGTGTGAACTCTTCGCAAATATTGTTCAAATATGCAAATAGGTCTATGAAAAATATGTGCATTACACCTCAGTTAGGAGCGAAAGACAAATAAGAAAACAAGTCAGCATTATTTCAGCTGAACTATTATGTCATCATAGGAAATGCACAAATATATCATTCATGTACAGGATTTTTATAAACATAACAAGGTTCATATAAAACATACAGTAGTCTAAAAAAAAGAGAAATACTAAGATTAAAAAAAAAAAAAAAAAAAAAAAAAAAAAAAAAAAAAAAAAAAAAAAAACCACAAAGCTACGTTGAACTAAAAGATATATCATGCAACTGTAACAAATTATTTAGACCATAGGACCAGTCTTACATAAATTAGTCACTGAATCAATTCATGAAAATTTTATGGTTATCATTATACAGTCAAAAGTCGTTAATTCGGACACCTATAATCCGGAATGATCTATAATCCGGACCTCAAAGCTAAAAACTTTCTGCGCATGCGCCGCGTTGGCACATGCGCACAGGCGTTTTACGCGTGCGCGTAAGACCTTGACTACTGCGCATATGCGTGTGCGCAAGTGCAGAATACGTTTTCGCCAGCTCGTTTAATGTATAACGGACGGTGTAAGCTAAAATTATCTAATTATCTATTTCAGTTAATGTTGCAGATAGCGTTGTTCTTTAATCTTGGAATTGGATCAGGCTTATTATTTTTTGCAGACTGTAAGAGCAATTTTATAAAAGTAAACTTGAACTTTCGATTATGTCAAATAGAATTTCCGACGCTGGAACTTCCAAAGGATCTACAAAACGAAAGTATGTTTCGATGTCCAACAAACAAAAAGTGGAATTGCTGCAAAAAATGGATAAAGACATGAAGAATGTGACAGAGAGGTTAGTGAAAATGAAAAAATTTCGATTGACAAGTTAGTCGGTATTCTCGGCACAGCAATTAACGGGACTTGAACAGCGGAACTTTGTAATTGAACAAGAAATTATGTCTGTTTATAGAATTAAAGAGAAAGTATTATCACATAAAACGAAGCAACTTAAACAACTTACATTGAAAGAAATGTTTAATAAAGTAAACAAATAAATATTAAGCTTTTTTTTTTGTAAATTTTGATACCCTTTAGATCATAATTGTTCTTTATTTCATAAATTACGGTTTCATATTTTTAATTTTAGAATTTCTACATGCCATCTTACGAGATTTAAACTGATGATCTATAATCCGGAATTTGCCGAAGTCCCGACGAGTCCGGATTAACGACTTTTGACTGCACTACAGAAAAATCAATATTAATTATGTACTATATGTCTTAAGGGCTTCAGTTAAATAATCTCGCCATAAAAGATTCAGACATATGCTTGTAAATCATTATTAGCTACACAGCATTCTATACTTCTGCGAGGAAGGAAAATACAACTCAGGGATAGAATTAACATAATGAGGTTTTTCAAATTAAAGATGATACATTTAATTGCTTCTCAGAATAAGAACATCTTGATCAGAGAACTCAGTAGCAGAACTGACTCATGTCAATCATCATGAAAGCACACGTAAAGGTAATTACAATCATAACTTTAAAGAAATTATTACCACACAGTATATACAATGGGAAAATCATGAAATTATCTATGTACAAAGCAAACTCAAAACTATTTGCGCTAATTGTCTGTCTTATTCAACTAACAGCCAGTTTTAAATCTCATAAAACCATTCATGGAAAAAATGAATGAAAGACAGCTCAGCTAAACTATACTCTTCAGTTTAGATCAGGTGAAGAAATTCTAAAACATCATTGCCATGTATTTAAAATTAGCAAAATTTATTAAAACATTTATATGCTATTAATAGTGTAGCCAAGAAGCTTAGGAATTTAAATATTTATAAACAAAAAGTAAGTAAATATTTAGTATCTAACTTTTAGATTTATGTTGCTTATATACTTATGTGATAAAATGAGTTTAGTACTATAAACAAGCTTTATATATGAAAGGAACAAACCAGAAGGATAAGGGTTCAATCACTTAAAACATCACAAAAGGAATCTTCTTGAGTTTCATAATGACAATCTAAATTTATACCTCGATGTTTTCTTCCAATTAAATGTTCTTTCTTCTCGATGTATGCGATACGCTACTTAAATTTTTGGACACATTTAATGAGGCACGTTTATGTACTAAAAATACGAAGCTTAATATCTCTGAACATATACAATATGGTTTGGCTGCTTCAGGTTTCATAAGGAACAAGTTTTGCCTTCCCCCCAGAAAAACACACAATCATAAACCTTCGAACACTATGGGGGGCAGTTAAATTAAAAACTCTAATTACAAAATTAAAGAGCTTAATCAACTCACAATCATAAAAGCAAGAATACTGAACTAAGGAACAGTATCAGTACATGAATAATTAAAAAATTTTACATTAGACCTGAAAATTTTAGTACTGCATCAGCCATTTACAAAATATAAACGATCAATATGCCATTTTCTAGAAGCTTTAGAAAATATCAGTGGCACATAAAGGAAACACACCAAAATAATGTATGAAAAGATATATTCGACTGAAACCTACCCATGAAGGAAACGATTTCCTAATATAATTTAACCCATTTTCTTTTTAAAAGCCTCAGAAATATTAGTGGTGGTAATAATTCTCATCACATCTAAATCAAGAGTAGCAAATCAACGCATCATGGGCTTAAAATTTTTATATGTGAATTCTTTGCTACTGAAAACAGTAGAATTTAAAATTTACAGGCAACCAGCAATAAAAAGAAACGAAACACACTTCTGTATACGTGAATTAAATAATTCTATAAATCTAAAAGATAACTTTGGCATCTGAGAGATTTGATTCGCATAGAGAATAAAAAGAGCTACTTTTAACTAATATTACTTTTGAGGCGAGTGTGAACTCTTCGCAAATATTGTTCAAATATGCAAATAGGTCTATGAAAATATATGTGCATTACACCTCAGTTAGGAGCGAAAGACAAATAAGAAAACAAGTCAGCATTATTTTCAGCTGAACTATTATGTCATCATAGGAAATGCACAAATATATCATTCATGTACAGGGGATTTTTATAAACATAACAAGGTTCATATAAAACATACAGTAGTCTAAAAAAAGAGAAAAAAATCCTAAGAATTAAAAAAAAAAAAAAAAAAAAAAAAAAAAAAAAAAAAAAAAAAAAAAAAAAAACCCACAAAGCTACGTTGAACTAAAAGATATATCATGCAACTGTAACAAATTATTTAGACCACAGGACCAGTCTAACATAAATTAGTCACTGAATCAATTCATGAAAATTTTACGGTTATCATTATACTACAGAAAAATTAATATTAATTATGTACTATATGTCTTAAGAGCTTCAGTTAAATAATCTCACCATAAAAGATTCAGACATATGCTTGTAAATCATCATTAGCTACACAGAATTCTATACTCCAGCAAAGAAAGAAAATACAACTCATGGCTAGAATTAACATAATGCGGTTTTTCAAATTAAAAATGATACATTTAATTGCTTCTCAGAATAACAACATCTTCACTAGAGAACTCAGTAGCAGAACTGACTCATGTCAATCATCATGAAAGCAAACATAAAGGTAATTATAAAAATAAATCATAAAACACAGAATTTTATTCTTGCGCATTTAGCATGAAAGTAGCATTTTCTCTAAATAAAATGTGTAAAAAGAAAAAAAACTTTACTGAAACTTTTCCTAAAACCCTCCAGAAAAGTACATTTTTAGCACCCTTATATAGAACCTTTCTGTTTATAAATAATAAAAGGATTTTTTTTTGGGGGGGGGGGAGGAATAGAGAAAAAAAATCTGTATTGCTGATATTTATAATCTTAAAACTCAGAAATACTGTACTGCAAAATGATAGTTAAATACGCAGCACATAAACATACAAGTATTCAACGACAGGTTTGCAGTCTTGCAAATTGAGTACTTTGCATAAACTACGAAACATACCCAAAAACTCGACAGGGATAACAAGAAAGTACAGTTCTTCCATTATATATATTGAGATTGCATACATGAAATCTACAGAAACAACTCTTGGTGTAAAAATAATCAGAGGAAGTTATATCGAACTGATTTCATTAATATACATAGATTTAGTCTCATTTTTGGTACAAAATGAAAACGCATGATTATTTTGAAAACAAAGATCATGCTGAAATGTAATCTTTCAATAGCGTTTTCATTCATATTCAGTAGAAAGAATACATGGACAACACAGGCATGAAATTCTGGATAAGAGATGTTTGGCAAAAGTGTTAGCATAAATTTAGGTATTTTGCATAATGAAACTCGAAAGGCATACGAAACGAACGTGCACCAAGGTATATATTGGCGGGAGAAAGTAAAGCTCGTGTGCAATGCAGAATAATTTGATTTTCACCCACTTGTACCTGGCCAAAAGTCTAATCCAGTAGTACTTTCTTCTCTTTCAGGTACAATGGCAAAGCATATTCCTGTTTATTTTTTCTTATTGCATAATATAGGTAAGCCTGATGATATTTAGTACTGATGAATGATTCTCTGTAAGTTATCTTCTTTTGAATACTTCAGTGTTTTAATATCCTTGAAAATTATTACATTTTGTTATGCTTCAGTGAAGCAAAATTATCCTATTTTATTAAATAAATATTTCGTAGTTAAAAATCTTTTGGACTTATGATTCTTTAATTCTGTGCTTGAGGAAACTTACTCATTACGCCTTCAGTGCTAATGCACAACCAACAAAAGCTTCCCTGTCCCGGAATGATCTAAAATCCGGACCTCAAAATTAAAGATCTTATAGGCTTTAGGCATGTGCATTTCATTCCCCCTCCGTGCATAATAAAACATCTGGAGAGTCCTAATTCTTAATTTTACTTTGACACTAAATAAAATACCTTGTTATTGAAGAAACAATCATTTTAGCATAAATTTGTACGATCGTTAATTTGTCTCCGTGACTGTGTATCTGTTTTCGGCACACATCACAAACCGAAACATTCCACATAGATACATCGTTGATCTGATGCCAACTTGGCGAATAATAAAGGAGTGTGGTAACCTTTTCTGTTGATATTATGCTTGGCGATTACAGATTTAAGTTAAATACACTAAAAAATTGAAGAGGAAAAATTACCAATGTTGATGATATTCATAGACCCAAAGATTACATTTAGGGCTTTTTGCATTAAGAATAACTGATTTGTTATTCACATAAACTAAGAACCAGGCCCAGAGCTCATATGGCCGCATCAAATTTCAGAATTTAGGACCTACACAGTCAGTAAAATATTAGCTATCAATAAGGCTTAAATACATGGGGGGGGGGGATTTATTTATTCAGAACTCTGATAAGCGTTAAGCATGTGCAAGAAATAGACATAAATATAATAAATAACTAAACTAATACAATTCAGGCTTAATTGTCTCTGTGCGCGATAGAAGCAAGATAAAATTAAACGGAACAACTTGTCGTTAGTCACCAAACTCATGAACCAAATATGTATAATGAAGGCTAGCTAACTTTGATGATGATAGCTGCTAATTTTTAAGATTTTCGGATATCGCAAAATGGTGAAATTTTCCAATTAATAGGTTTTGTAAAGAAATGTGGTGAAGCGGTAATAAATGAAGATGATGTAAAAGACGTTTTCATATCATGAATGGCAATATCTGTAGTATGGTTCTAGATCCAGAAAATACAGCTACAGAAAGTTTTTGAAATCCAGAAATTTCGATTGACAAGTTAATCAGAATTTTCGAAACTGCAGTTACAGGACTTCAACAATATAACTAAACAAGAGATTATGTCTGTCTATAGAATTAAAGACCACAAAATACGAAGCAACTTAAAATAGCTTGCATTAAAAAAAAGTTAATAAATAAATATTAAGCTTTATTTATTTGCAAATTTTGATACCCTTTAGATCATGAATACTTTATTATTTCATAAATCCCGATTTCACATTTTTAATCCCGACAAGTTCGGATTTCGGACTTTGTACTATACTTAAAATCAAATACATAAAGGTTGATAATGTACAGATCAGACTTATTCTTACTCAGTAGAAATATGCATGATGAAGCTTGAAAAAATATGAAAGTTTTTAATAACAAAAGGCAAATGGTTCATAACTGATTCGAAACAAGAATATTAATTTACAAAGATGAAAATTTCAAACTTTTCTCAAAACATTTTCTTCATAAAAAGTTGAGTAATTGTCGGGAATTTTTATGTTTTACAACTAAAAAAGTATTTGGTGATAAACAAACTATCACTAATCTAAGAGGAGGAAAAATAAAATATTTACCAACTGAATAAATATTTAAAAACATACAGTAAATATGCTATCTAATATTGTCTATTACATGAATTACATTAGACTGGTGAATTAAATAACTTTAATGGAAATCAGAAGAAAAACATGGTCATTCATTATATATCAGCAGACCGTCGTTTTCATGTCATCATGGATAAAATAATTTCTCAGCAATTACCCATCTAGAGCGATTGTAACTTTGCAGATTAACATACATAAATCATTCCCCATTAATAACAGATAGCATAAAAATGTGCATTTTTAAACCCGTTACCAGAAGTAATTTAAAACAGAACCTGCAACTTTTTCGGGTTCAAGAGCTGAATTTAAACAATACAAAATACTTTAAAATGAGATAATAAAAGATAAACTGCTGCATAAATTTTTAAAACTAAATTTTGAAAATTTTTACCGCATAAAACTGATAAAGAACTTATGAACTATATTGCGTTACTGTTATAATAAACAAATTTAGATTCAGAATCCAGTAATAACTTTATAAATACTTAATAATATGAAAGAAATTACTTACAACCACAACAAATGCCAGGGCTAGTAGCCACATTTTTAGTTAACCTCTTTGACATTTTAGTCCTCCACTATGTCTTATGGTGCAAATAATATTCTGAGATTCTCATTTTATTTGTTAATATTTGCAAAAAATCGTTTCAACTTTAAATAAATAAATAAATAAAAAAAAAAAAATCTAATCCTCCAAAAATCAAAATCGTGACACTACATCCACAAGAAGTGTATGTACAAAGTTTGAGTTCTACATCTTATCGTGAAGCAGTTTGAAAAATCGATGACCATCTTTTAACCATAGCGACAAGCACCAAGAGTGAGCTAAATAAAAGCTTATAAAATAACAAGAAAGTTCAAACTTCTTGATAATAAAAACGCACTTAACCTTCTGTACTCAAAGGTGACTCTTCATCACCACTCAATTTGATGTGATAATTTGAGGGGTAACAGTGTTCATTTAGGCTTGGTTTGTGCAATATTGCTTCCTAAGTGTATTTAACAATACATGCACATAAACTGCCAATCTTTAACCTTAAATACCTTTTTTAGATTTACCATTATATATGTGTATTCTACGTTAGTTCGAACTGGATAATCGATGCAACAGGAATATTTCCAAAGAGCCCAACATGGAATACAATGAAGGCATCAGTTAAAATGAAGATGAGTTCAATTTCTTGCTGATGAAGAACAATGTTATGTCTATGCATAGGCTACTTCACGATAGGTTTGGTTTAATGTGATTACAGCAAAGCCTCAGGGGCTATCTGCCTGAGGGGACGGATGCCTTTGTGGAATACTTTCTAGGGGAACTGGCTTGTATACACGTTACACATGAGGAAAATCATGAAAATGCCCACGCAGTGATTCGAACCTCAGACTGAACTACTAGGGTTCAGAGACTTTACCGCTCATCTGCTAGTAGGCACTTGTCGATAAGACGAATGGAGTCATGAGGATAGTGATGAAGAAAGAGATGCAAGGCGAAATATAAAGTAACAGATAGTGAATGTGATTCTGCAGAATAGACAGAAAATTTAGAATGAATAACATGTGCAAAATTCAAAGAACACCATTTGTGTTCAGCGAAAGAGTAGCAGAACCACAAATATCTTTAGACATAAAAGAACTGTTATATTTGTTTAAATTGTATGTGAAATCATTTTAAGTTAGACGTAAGAAATTCATCCAATTTTTTAGGAAAAAATGTCTTGAGTTGCTGTTTTGTATGGGCACAAAAGGATTAAGGGAAAAATTATGAAACACATCTTAACACTTTACCGACTGCTAGTGGTTCAACAGCACACGCACGTTCGACCGGCTGCTCAGCTGCAGATTCTCCCTGTCCTGAATAACTGTCAGAACAATCTGATAAATCATGTAAATAAAACTTTCCAGTACCATTTTTTCGCTCATTGCAAACGGTAAATTTTTAAAAAATGGTGTGAAAATGTGGGATTTCACGAAGCAACACACTTAACGCAAGTGACCAATGTACCTAAATACTACTAATAAAATGCAGATGATATAGCAAATGGCAATTGTTTATTGCCACAGCTACCGATCGATAGGCTATTTTTAAGTAGCCCCAAGAAAAAGCGATTATTAGGTAATCGGTCGGTAAAGTGTTAAGGAAACGTGACCACATTTGTAAAATGTACAAATTCCATTAAATCTTGATGAGAGGAGCTAACAGAAGGCAACTTTTACCAAGAACCGTCATACACTGAAACAGATATGAAAAGTTTATACTACTAAATACAGATATAGCAACTGAAATTTGAGTTTGAGATTTATTAGACCTTGCTAGGATCAAAGCCCCAGTAGTTGTTAATACATTATTACTATTTCATACTTGTATAATGTTACAGAACACAAAAGCAAATGGCATTTTTATAACAAATATTTTTTAAATTTTAATCATCAAAAAAGATCTAATTTTGACAGAAGGCATTAGTAGGTACTCTAAAAAAGAAGTAAAACATATCTAAAATTTTGCTAATGTTACTCACGATTAATTCGACCATGAGCTCTGTAAGTTCTTCGTCTCATCTTTGGGGCCCTATTAACCTGAATATGTTCAATAACAAGACGATCAACATCCAATCCTTTATAATCAGCATTGCTCTCCGCATTCCTTAACAACTGCAGCAGGAATTCAGCACTTTTTTTGGGCCACCTTCCTTGCGTAGCACCCCACTGTTTAGCCTACAAAAGAAAAAATTATCTTATTAAAAAATGTAATAAAATATTACAGAAAAACGCATGGATGTTACTATCTACATTTTATTTCTGAAAATTCATTTCTTTCCAATGATTAGTAATTCATGTAAGAACATGTTGCACCCCAACAACTATATATAATTGGAGCTATGAAACATAATACAAATACTTAATAATTATAATCCATGTCAGAAATTACAAATAGTTTGTGTGGAATGCATACATTTGTGAATTACACACATTTCTAAAACCAAACCTTCACTATATACCATCAGTGGTATTCAAATTATGGGAGGTCACAAAAATTTAAATTGGTGTCACAAGTTGGATAAAAATTCTAAAAAAACTGAACTGATGGCATATACCTAAGGGTCCACACTCTGATTGCGATTGCATCATCATAAAGTTTAAATACCACTGCTATACATGACACAAATTGATAGAATGACATTTCTCATTTGCTTTAGATAAATCAGAATTCTATTTGTGAAAACAAGTTATGCCTGTAAAATAAATCTAAACGAATTTAGAGATCTCAAGTCAGAAATTTTTATTTTCGTTGTCCTTATCGATTTTAGTTCTGTTAATGATGACAAATTTTCTTTAGAATTTTTCATTATGAATTTCTTATTTCATTGATGAGAGTTAAAATATTTTTATACATTTTATTTTAACTTCGATATTTATGAGGTGAGGCTTGAATCTATAATAATTCTACAACTACTGCATGCAGATTAACTTAAGACATAAAATCCTTAACCGGAAGATCAGAACATAATTCAATTACCTTTAAGCAACAAATACACAATTTACCAACATATAAGAATGGGGGGGGAAAGAAAGAAGCTCACTGAGCTGAGTAACAGAGGGGTGTCACCAAGAACTGTCATACACTGAAACAGATATGAAAAGTTTATACTACTAAATACAGATATAGCGACTGAAATTTAACAGAGGGGTGTATATATGCATAAGTATATACTTTTGGTGTGGCCAAATTACATTTCAAAATAGGAAGTGCACAACTACATGTTATAGCAGCCCTATATACAAAATTTCAATATTCTGAGAATATTTGTTAATGTGTTATGCAAGGTACACTGGGCAAAAAAAAAAAGGGGGGGGGACAGTTCTACAGGGCCGATTGCAGAAATTCAAACTGCATTTCTCATGTCTTGAAAGCACAACTTAAGATTACATTTATATATAGCACTGTTCTAATATAGGTATTTTGACACAAAATTAGACTTTCTAAAATAACATATAAATTTTTTTGTAGTTCAATTTTACGACTCAAATTATGCCTAGATATTAAATTTTGTTCGAGATTTATGGAGAAATTTGAAAACTTATCTTGGCGCAATTTTTTTTTTTTTTTTTTAGTTTGCGCCAGAATAATTCACTTTGTGGCTTCTTAATAACAACCTATTTTTCTTTTTTCATTGTAAAAGAGAAGGGGGGAAGTCAAGGTGCCGTAAACCGGCATTATTGTTGCTTATAACAAATATGCCAAATTTCAAAATGTACCACTATGTAAATTCACATATTATATCCTATGAAATTTTGAATAAAAAACTACATTTTTGCAGGTATGGTTAGAAATACATCTAATTTAAGATGATGGTGAAAATTTAAAAATACTAATTTTAAAATTAAATTATAAAAAAATGTAGGAATATTATTTGGAATAAATCTAAATCTCAAATTCTGGAAGAAGGAATCAGGTAAGTTTAATAAAAAAGATATTAATAAATATATATCGTATTTCAAAAAGAATATACGTATTTCGAATGCATATTTAAAACTATATGATATACGAATATGAAAATTTACACACACATGTACGAACCTCTCAAGTTCGAATTACAGATGTTCAATATGTCCTCCATCAGTGACATGAAAAATATCACATCGATACTCAAACTCATCCCATACTTGGGCAAGCATGTCCTTCGTCACTGATGTTATGACAGTACAGATCCGGTTCTTCACCTCTTTCAGGTTCTGTGGGAGTAGTGATACATAAACGTTGTCTTAAATGAAACTCCACAGGAAGAAGTCACAGGGTGTCAAATCCGGTGACCATGGAGGCCAGCTGAGACATGCTAAGTTACCAGCTCCTTGATGACCAATCCAATGGTTCGGTAGAGTTTCATTCAGATAATCACGCACTTGACGACACCAGTGAGGAAGTGCCTCGTCTTGTTGAAAAATGAAGTTGTCTCCATGCAGCCTTGGAAACAACCAGTTTTGTAACATAGCCAGATACTGCTGCCCATTTACTGTGTTTCCATCAAAGAATGGACTTTAAACAGATAATCGGGATATCGCACAAAACACATTGATTTTGGGCAAATCTCGTACATGTTCAATGGCTGCATGTGGGTTCTGTAGCCATTCAACCCACAAATCCATTCACAAATAATAAAAGCATGGGCACCTTAAATAATGAGATTTGTTAATTACATTACGTTTGCTGTAAGCCCCAAATTTGAACATATTGTTTGTTTACATTCATTTTGGGCGAATCTTGTACATGTTCAATGGCTGTATGTGGGTTCTGTAGCCATTGAATCCACAAATAATAAAAGCATGGACACCTTAAATAACAAGATCTATTAATTACATTATATTCGCTGTAAGCCCCAAATTCGAACACTGTGTTTGTTTACATGACCACTAACATGAAAGGTCGCTTCAGCACTGAACACGATGTGTTGTGTGAAAGTATTAACATTATCAATAGCATCAATAATCTCATTACAAAATTCCACACGTTTGCATTTGTCATCAGGACGCAGAGCATGTAACTTGTATGGCTTCATAACCAACCGACGTCTCAAAACGTGCCAAATTGTTGTTGTAGGCAGTTGTAACTCTCGATTGGCACGAGTTGTTTTTGAAGGACTACATTGGAAAGCAGTTTGAATTTTCGTCGGGAACAACGAGGGCAGCCAGGACTCTTTCCTTTACATACACATCCTGTATATAAAATTGGTGATGCCATCTGCGAATGTTCCACCCATTCAGAGGATCTCTTTGGTACCTCAACTTGAAACGTCTTTGCACTGTAATCACGGAATTGCACTCCACAAACTCGAGAATACAAAATGATTTCTGCTGCGGAGTAGCCATTTTAAACATGTGGTGGTTACCACGCAAAACAGAAGACAACTGACATCTAGCAGCTATTAATACAAACTATGTATTCGTTTCGCCAATAGCAGAGCCGAGGTGCAGTTATGGAAGTTTGGACAAAATAAACACTTTGTAATATGTATATTCTTTTTGAAACATGGTGTATATCAAATTCAATTAACACTGAGAAGCTAAAATTTTGAGGACTAACTTTTTAAAACTATTCATACGATTTTCCAAAACTTGGCATGCCATTTCAGAAAAAAATCTGATTTTGTGTCAAAATACCTATATTAGAACAACGCTATATACAAATCTAATATATATTACCTTAAGTTGCACTTCCGAGACATGAAAAACGCAAATTGAATTTCTTCAATCGGCCCAGTAGAATGGGAGATAATAGAACTGTCCTTTTTTTTCTTTTGGTGCAGCGTACATAATTTTCGTTGAAATATGACACCTGAAAACATTTCATGATTACAATACTCCTTTTATTTTGTACAAGGAAATAAAAAAGCATATAGTTCAGTGGGAATAAGAGTAAATAGGGAATTTGTAAAGAAAGCAATTCTTGTTACAAAATTCATCGACAAATAATAAAACCACGGGCACCTTAAATAACGAGATCTGTTAATTACATTACATTCACTGTAAGCAGATACCATTCCTTTTACATACCTGCCAACCTCTAAAGATAAAAATTCAGAAAATTTCTCCAAAATTCAGAAGAACACGAAGAATTAATATCCTGCTTTTGACATTAAAAAAATAATTTATACAAATAGAAAAACGAAAATTGTACTTACATTAGTAAATCTCAATTAAGTAGTAACTAAAAAATTTATTAGGAAACATAAAACAAGAACTTAATGTTGCACAAAAAAATTATTGCAATGAATTTAGAGTGCATTTTTTGGCTTTAGCCAAAAATTCTTTGGAAAATTTCCTGTCATAACAATTAGTTTCCTCACAACATTTAGCAATTAAAATGTTTTCTAGAGTTTTTGGTGAATGTGAAGAACGAAACACAGTTTTGTTTTTCTTCCTAACACCGAAGACTCTCTCGCACTCAGCATTACTGCGTGGAATTACGAGAATAGCACTTAAAACTCTTGCTAGTCTATCATATTTTCATAAGTCTTCAAACTGTGCAGCAGAAAATTGGTTCTGTAGTTCATCTAAAGCATCATTATGGCATTCATTTTCTTTAATTGTTAACAAAAATGGAAATTTATCAATAAAAAAATGAATCTTTTCAAAAGATGGATTTTCAATTTGTTTCAAATTTGCCACTTCAGCATTTAAAAGAACTTCATTTTGCAACGGAAACTTCCTTACAATGTAATCACAGGCTGAGGAAAAGTACTTTCTAACACTGAAAAAACTCTTTTTCCTCATGATCTTTCAAAGAATTTACAAGTTCCCTGGTTTGATTTCCAATTATAAGATCATTGTCATCCTTTTGATTTGCCAAACTATTATAGGCAACACGAATCAACTATTATTTCATCATAGAAAATGCACAAATATAATATTCATGTACACGAGAATTATTCTAAAACTTAGAAAAACTATGCAAAACTAAAAAATATTCATCATTCAATTATACATCAGACAAATGCATAATACGCAACTGTAACATTATTTAGAGCGTAGGGCTGTCTTATACAAATTTGTCACTCAAAATATTACTCTATGTTTATCATTATAATTACAAACACATCACTATTAAAGATTTAGACATGTGCTTGTTAATCGTCAGCTACATGGGATTCTAAACTTATGTGAGTAAAGAAAATAAGTATTCAAATGACAGGTTTGCACACTTGCAAGTTGAGTACTTT